CAGTAAAAAACCGGTTAAAAAGATCAAATGTGCTACGGAAAATTGAGACATCATGGACTTTTCTTTCACCATCACACATTCGCATTTAGGGTTTTTTAGTTGATTCCGCACGGTTTTACAATAACTCAAAAAAGGTTTGTGTTCAGTGAAACATTACAATCGATAGTGTGGATCTTCAAAGACAATCCAAAACCAATGAAAATTCTACTTAAGAAGCATCTTCTGGGAAATTCAAATACCAAACAAGAGATGGCGAATCGCGGTTCACAATGGCAATGCTATCTCTCAAACATCGGCTCAAAACCTCCTTTTTTAGCCGACCAAAATGTGGATTTAATGGGTCAATCCACATACTTGAAGAACATATCTCCACTCAATATGTGTTTTTTTTATTATCGCATCCCTTTGTATGTAGACAGATATGGCGCCCAACATGTTTTTATATTAAATTTTAGTTAAGTTTCTTGTAGATTTAGTCGTTAACAAGACATCTTTGTAGAACACACACACATCTTATCCGACGGGAAAATAGCTGGATAAGTCAGATATACAAAATTCTTCAAGTTGTCGATTTTATATAGTCACAAGTGTGAAGTTGGTTGTCCAAGATCCGATTTTAAATTTCATAAACTTCTGTCACATTAAATGTTGACAAAATATTTTTCTGAAACAAATAATTTTCCGGGAAGATAGATGGATAAGAGGAAGATACGAAATGATACAAATTTTCAAATTAATATCCTCACAACTGTCAAGTTGGTTGTCCAAGATCAACGCCTCTAATCGTGTATAGAAAACATTTGGTCCAGTTAAACACATCCCCATTCAATATGATGTTGATTTGTTTTCTTATCGTTGCCCTTTATATGAAGACAGATATGGCGCCCAACAAGCTTTTATATTAAATTATAGTCGTTGACAAGACACACACCTATTACCCGATTGGAAGATAGCTGGATATGCGAGAGATACAAAATGCAACAACTTGTCAAGTTGGTTCGCCAAGACCCTAATATAAATTTCATAAAGTTCCGTTTTTAACAATTTTGATCGTGTGTAGTAAACATTTTGTCCAGTTGAACACAGCTCCGCTCAATAGATTGTTTTTTTGTTATTATCGTATCCCTTTATATAAAAACAGATATGGCGCCCAACATGATGTCATATCAAACTCTTTACTTAATCGTTAAAATATTATCAGAATAATTTTAACGAGTTTTTAATTCGCGAATGTCCTATCTCTGGATGATGTATACAAGAAAAAAGTCTTCTAGAAATCTTGGTTTGAAAGTCGGACTCTCAAGAGTGGTGGGAATTTCCAATTCCGCCTAAACGGACATAAATCAGTTTACATGGAATGATTTATTTTAGTGGATAAATATATATTCAACATTTTGTGACGCTTGACGGAAATTTATCCAATATGGACAAGTATGGCGCCCAACATAGGGAATTATCATACTTTCCTTAAGTTATTTGAAATTTTGCCTTTGTTAAAATTGTATTGGGACTTCAAGTTATGTGAAAAAAGGTGTTAACTAATTGGGATACTCCATATTGGGCCCAACGTTGTTGTTACCAATACAAGATGAAGTGAAGTTTTATATGTAGATACAAGTTTTTTCTTTCCAATATGGATTTGGCTCCCAATATTATAGCAAGTTTGGCATGAAATGACATGTTTTTAAATATTAAGCCTGGCCAAGTGATATTACGCTGGGCACCATATATTTTATTAATAAATTCTCAGATTGGGCGCCATATATTGCTATGTTATTTTATTTAACTATTTTCTAAAAAATATTTATATGCTTTTTTCAGGAAACTTTACGGCCAGTCTTATCTACTTCTGTACATTCTATGTCATAATTACATATATTGTACTGAACTTACTTGTGGGTTAGTATAAAAAGATCCCGATACCAATTTATCATGGGATGATCTCTAAATAATTAATCTTTACTCCTTTCCTACAGCTATTATCATGGAGAACTTTTCACTGTTTTACTCGAACGAAGAAGATGCTCTACTTTCCTATGCGGATATACGAAATTTCCAAAACACCTGGAATATTGTGGACATACATCAGCGTGGTGTAATACCAGTACGACGTGTGAAATTCATATTACGTTTGCTTAAGGGCCGTTTGGAGTGTGATCCACAGAAAGACCGTTTACTGTTCAAATATATGTGCTATGAATTGGATAAGTTGCACAATGGGGAAGATGTTACCTTCCATGATGTGATCAAGTATGCTTTCGCCAGCGGATTTTATTAGCTATCTTGAAGTGAGATTTCTGATTTTTGTTTCCTTTTTTCTTTGCAGTATGCTTTCATATCGATCGGTAGATATACGTAAGGCATTACAACTGGAAGAGTTACTGGCCCGTGAGGAATTTGAATATCTCGTCGAAGAGGAAGTTGCCAAAATGACAATACGCCATTGGTTGGAAGGATGCCTGAAGAAAATTAGAGCACAAAATGCATATGTAGGTCAATAATTTGGATACATTTTTTTATTTTTCGATTGAATCCCTCTCTTTTTTCAGAAACAACAAAACTCTCTGTTGGCTGGTCTACGTGCCACAAATGAACCCATAATACGTCCCAGTGTACCAGAAGATAAAACACCAACTGGTCTTGGTGATAAATCTGCAATTGCCACAATAAGTGGCACTGTGGCAGCTGCCACATGTCCACCCACCAGTGATGCATTTTCTCCTACATTTAGTTCAACCGAAAATGAAGAGAAGGATGTGAGTACCAGTGCAGTGGCATCAACGCCGGGTGCTGGCGCCACTGCCGAAACATCTACGGTGCAGGCCACCCAACGCATCATCACCAGCACAAAACGTGGTTATGCCCTTAATCGTTCCGATTCGACGGGAAGTAGCGCTGGTCGCAAATTCCTTGCACCAACATCCTCAGATCCCCAGCGGACAACGCTCACCGACAAGGAACGCCTGCACATTGCCAATCAACAGAAAAAGAAAAATTCCATGACAACCAGCACCCTACCAGTTGCCCCGCTACCAGCCTTGCCGGGACATAAAAAGAACAGCTTCTTCGCGGGAGATGTTAGCCAATTCCATTATCCTACACTGAATCATTTCGATCATGGCCATATCCCAGCATTGGGTAGTCCATCAGGTCTAATGCCACACATTATACCCGGCACAAAGTTGTTGCCGTTCAACAATCAGGCCAATGCCGTGTATGAAGTTCATGATTGGTGGCAGGAACAAGTGCTGTGTACCCAAAATAGCGATGATGAAATGTAGAGCTGATTTGCCAAAACACACAAAAACTATAATTTAATTTATAGACTATTTTGAATATACAAAACAAACATACATACATAGAAACATAACGGTATTATAGAAAACAATTATATATTTTTTATATGGAATGTTTAGTCTTTAGAGAAGCATCGAATAAGTAGTTAAATAACAGAAGTCGATGTCATTAAATTTAGTTAAGTATTTGTGTCAAAAATTGTTATATTAGTTAATGTTAGATATAAATAAATAATTTAAAATTGTTGTTAATAAAGGTCGATTACAACCTGTGAAAACAATTCCTAGAAGTCAATTTAATCGAAAACTCAACACTTTCATTGTGGTAATGTACATGAATGAACAAGATTTGAAGATTATAATAAGTAAAAATTTCCTATGTTCGACTGGACCCAACTATTATGCCCTACATCATGTGGTGTGAATTCAAAATTTCTTAAATCGGTTGACATCTTCATATGCAGACTATTTAATGGTAAATTGTAGGTTGTTTATGCCATTATTTAATCTACAACCTAAAAAAAGCATTTAGATTTACGAAACCACTCGATCTCAAGTGTAAATTTCTTAGCGTAGACGTCAAATTAACGTGACGTATACGTTTTGGAATTGACGTTTGTAATCTAGTGTAGTCTAAACGCGCTCTAATTTAACGGGACCTTTGACAGGGGAAATTTAAAAACCTAAACATATATAGCCTTATTCTGGATATTCATTGGGAGATATCTCGCATGTAAAAAAAAATTCGCTTTAACATTCTCGCCTTATTCTGAATGCATAGGGAGACGCAAAAAATGCGAGATCTCATTCTCCTGCTCCCTGTAATCCAGAATACCTAATTTTCACCCAAAGCGTATTTTTTTCGCTTTCGAACTTCATTCAGAATAATGCGAAAGCGAGAATGCGAAAAAAAATTCACAGAAAAATGTTGTTCAGAATAAGTCGAAGGGGAAGAGCGAGTAAATCCACGTGGAATTGACATCCAGAATAAGGCTGATATTGAACATTTTCAGGGAATAGATTTTTCACCCATACGGAATTCGGAATACCTAATGACAGCTACTTCGGTGTAACATTTGTCTAAAACTTTCAAGATATCAAAAAATTTCTGCAAAAATGTCAAATTATATCCACTTCGGTTTAAAATATAAGGCGGGACCGTTATGAGGGGGCTTTGTCAAAGCATGGACCTACATCGGAAATTTTCCGCCATGTTATTTTTCTGCCTCCCAGAACCCGAATTGTCATATTAAAGTCATATTCTGTAGGGAAATACCGAAAATGGGGTGAACTCCTACGGTGCAGGTCTGTTCCAGTACTTTTTAATAGTAAAGCTAGTAAAAGGGAAACATTTCAAAATCGTCCTCAGAGTAGAAAATAATTTGAAAAGTTCAGGAACGCAAATCTAGTAAGTCCCAATTTAGATTAGGCGAGTTTACTTGCGGCTAGTCTTTTTTTGTAGGAGAGAGGGCAAGGGGTATAGAAATGAAAAAAAATTGCTTGTATCGACAATTTTCTGGCAATTCGTTTTGTGTATTTCTTATTTGTTGACATTTTATATATATTTAAGGGTCCCATACACTATAAATCATGCCGTCATGCCGATGAACCTCTTGTTGTATATGTGAGACTGACTAGTCTGACTATTCCAAAAAATCGATTTTTGTCCCAAAAATTGCATTTTGAGTCGTAAATTCAGTTGTTTTTTTATTCCGTCACAATTTTATTATTTTTGTACACAAAATTATTTACTGACAACTTTCAAAATGAATATTATTCACCAGATTGATAGGGGTTCATTTGTGTGTGTCACACATACATAAATAAACTTTCAAAAAATAACACATACTATGATAAATGCTGTACGGCATGATGTATAGTGTATGGGGCCCTTTAAATGTGAAAAAACAACAAATATAAAAAATATTTTGGAAACCGAATTGCCTTGTATAGACGCAAGTTCAAAAGAGAACGATAAAAATTGCCGCAAGTAAACTCGCCTAATATAAATCAGGACTAAATAAGGCAATACTTCAAAATCAACATAACTGCCAATCAGAAGTAGGCATTCCTGTTTACCATTTTTACCAAATTTCTCGAGTAAAAAGTTTACAAAGAAAACGCCATTTTGTATTGTGCTCTCTTAAATCTGATTCAATGTTTTCGAGTAAAAAGTTGCAAAATTTGTAAAATTAGTAGATTCTTTTAGGTTCTGGAATGGAACTAAAATTTCTGCAGAGATTTTTATCAACCTCAAAGAATAAAAATAAAAATTGATAAAATATTTAAGATACCTGAAGTGCGGTAGGACTTTTATATAGGGAATATGTCTAAATATGGAGCCATATCGAAAACAATCTGCAAATTTACATCCACTTCGTTTGGAAAAGGCGGATAAATCCTGTGAATAAATCCCAAAAATGAGATGGAACCTATGAACCCATATTTTATATAATGATAGTTATCACCTTCTAAATGCCCGGAATACTAAAATAAATCACCTTTGTTTGAAATATGCGGCTAAAAATACCGAAAACGGTTTTGGGACCCTTTAGAGTGGGTTAAGTCAAAACTTGGAAGATTTTATGAAAATATGTATTTAACTCTCTAGGAATTCGGAATACCAAATTACAGCCACAGTATAAATCTTCGTAATATTAAAAATGGGGTAGGATATTTATATGTGGAGTGTATCCAAACATGAACCCATATTGAACATTTTCTGCAGAAATACCAAAAATGGGTCGGGACAGTTACGTAGGGGTGGGTCTATGACAAAACATGTTTATATGTCAGCAATTTTCTGCAAATATGTTTTGCTCTTCAAAAGCCGTCATTTTAGAAGTAAAATGCGTCTAAAGCTTTAAAAATGCCGAAAATGATTGTATTGTTGTGAACCGATGTATCCCATTTTAACTTCTAAAATTCAGAATTGAAGGTCATTCTTCCCTCAATCTTATGGCTAATGAGGGTAAATATAATTTGATACAATAAAACCCAAACAAAAAATCAGTTTCAGAAAATTTGAAGTCGAATTACAAACATCTGTTCGTCTGTTTTTGCAGACTCATTATAAATTCCAAAGGAAGTAATCGGTTTCCAAGCTTTGCAAATCCTAAAATTTCTTTCAAACTTAAATCAAATTTGAAGATAGGGGCAAAAGGTCTAACCCTTCTAGTACGTCTCCATAAAATGTTCAAATTGTTGTTGAAACTTCCAAAAATTAGATTAAAATATACTCGCCCTCTGGACGATGTGAACTCGCCCTCTGGAATATAGAACTCGTACCGCAATACTCTACTAATTTAATGCCATGTTCTGACGGGCATCCGAACAACGTAGTTCGCTCTCAGAATTACGTACATGAATTAACCCGTTCATACAACACTATTCATAATTCATATCATCAGAGTTTTTTATTTCAAACTTTTTGTTTATTGTTTTACACCAAATATGTAACATATTTTAGTGAATTACATAGGGATCTAAATAGAAAAAATAATTCTCTTTCTCCTGACTATAGTATGAACCCATATCTATTTACTTTTCATTCATGTTTTCCATTTTTTCTGAAAATGTTGTTGTTTTTAATACATTTTTATATTTTCTCAATTCAAATGTCACATACTGTCACAAATAACATTTTGGAGAATTTTTTGTTTGAGTTGCCCCACATTTGTTTCTTGTTTTGTACGCTAATTAGAACCAAGGGAAAAGAAATGCATATTGCATTATGTAGAAAACAAAATTTACATCCTGCTGCATATATAAAAACTATACAATTTTTTACTTTTCATTCATGATTTTCAATTTTACTGAAAAAGTTTGAAAATTTCATAAATATTTTCAAACTGTCAAAATTAATTTATTTTCGATAAATACTCTCAATTGTTAGGGATGGGACAAATTTATTGGTTACTAGCATATACCCGCTACTTCGTTAGCGAATGTGTGATGTATTTAAAACCCTATATCGACCATTATTAAAATTTTAAAACCATTTAGTACGTATGTTCTGCCGTAGTATGTTCTCAAATCTACCTTTATATCTCAACCCTACACACCCATTCCGACCGCTACAGAAATCTACCTCTATACTAAATTTGGTGTAATTTTTTACCAGTTGTACTCTTGTAATACTTATTTTGAAAAAAAATGTAATATAGCTTCACCCAAATCCAAATTGAGTATCAGTTAGTGCACATTAATATAACTACCTACTTTAACAATCATAAGTACGAAGTTCCAACACTTCCCATATACCCCAATCTTAATTCCAAATTTCAGGATTCTATCGGTTCATCTAGTGCACATTAATATAACTACCTACTTTAACAATCATAAGTACGAATTTCCAACACTTCCCATATACCCCAATCTTAATTCCAAATTTCAGGATTCTATCGGTTCATCTAAATCCAATTTGTATCACATTTAGTACCACTTAGAACACATAAGTAAACATTTCCATTACTACCTACATCATGCAATCCAATTGAAATCATGAATTAGATAAAATCTTAATAATAATCCAAATAGTATCAAATTTAGTACACAGTAGTACGAATTTCCAAAACTTCCTACTTAACCCAAACATACACTCCCACAGTGATCCTAAATCCAAGTTTCAGGATTCCAACTCTATTGGTTCACCCACAATTCAATTTGTACCAAATTTAGTACATAGTTGTACCAATGTCCAAAACTTAGTGCATAGTAGTACCAATTTCCAAAACTTCCTACATACCCTAATTCTACACCTCCACGGTGATCCTAAATCAAAATTTCAGGATTCCAACTCTATCGGTTCACCAATAATTCACATTGTACCAAATTTAGTACACAGTAGTAACAATTTCCAAAAAATGCTACATACCCCAATTCTACACATCCACAGTGTTCCTAAATCAAAATTTCAGGATTCCAACCTATCGGTTCACCCACAATTCAAATTGTACCAAATTTAGTACACATTAGTACCAATTTTCAAATCTTCCTACATACTCCAATCCTACACCTGATCCTGAATCAAAATTTCAGGATTCAAACTCTATCGCTTCACCCACAATTTAAATTGTACCGAATTTGGTACACTTAGTACAAATTTCTAAAACTTCCTACATACCCCAACCCTACACCCCCACAGTGATCCTAAATCAAAATTTCACGATTTCAACTTTATCGGTTCATCCACAATTTAAATTGTACCAAATTTAGTACAAATTTCTAAAAATTCCTACATATTTCAATCTTACACCTCAAATGTGATCCTGACTCCAAATTGCATGATTCTACCTCTATTGGTTCACCTAAAATTCAAATTGTACTAAATTTAGTACCATTTAGTACGACTTTCAAAAACTTCCAACTTAACCCAAACCAAAATCTAAATTTCAGGATTCCAACTCTATCTGTTCACCCACAATTCAAATTGTACCAAATTTAGTACACAGTAGTACCAATTTCCAAAACTTCATAAATACCCAATCCTACACCGCCACAGTGATCGTAGATCTAAATTTCTGGATTCCAACTCTATCGCTTCAGCCACAACATAAATTGTACAAAATTTAGTACACATTAGCACAAATTTCTGCATATCTCAATCTTACACCTCAACAATGATCCTGACTCCAAATTTCTGATTCTAGCTCCATTGGTCCGCCTAAAATTCAAATTGTACAAAATTTAGTACCATTTAGTACGAATTTCAAAAACTTCCAACTTAACCCAAAGCAACACCCCCACAGTGCTCCAAAATCTAAATTTCAGGATTCGAACTCTATCGGTTCACCCATAATTCAAATTGTACCAAATTTAGTACACAGTTGTACGAATTTCCAAAACTTCGTACTTAACTCAAACCAACACCCCCACAGTGATCCTAAATCCAAATTTGAGGATTCCAATTCCATTGGTTCACCCACAATTTAAATTGTACCAAATTTAGTACACATTAGTACAAAATTTTAAAACTTCCTACATTTCTCAATCTTACACCCCCACAGTGATCTTAAATCTAAGTTTCAGGATTCCAATTCCATTGGTTCACCCACAATTTAAATTGTACCAAATTTAGTACACATTAGTACAAATTTTTAAAACTTCCTACATATCTCAATCTTACACCTCAACAATGATCCTGACTCCAAATTTCATGATTCTAGCTCTATTGGTTCACCCAAAATTCAAATTGTACAAATTTAGTACCATTTAGTACGAATTTCAAAAACTTCCAACTGAACCCAAACCAACACCCCCACAGTGCTCCAAAATCTAAATTTCAGGATTCCAACTGTATCGGTTCAACCACAATTCACATTGTACCAAATTTAGTACACATAAGTACAAAATTTTAAAACTTCCTGCATATCTCAATCTTACACCTCGACAGTGATCCTGACTCCAAATTTTATGATTCTAGCTCAATTGGTTCACCTAAAATTCAAATTGCACCAAATTTAGTACCATTTAGTACCCATAAGTAATAATGTATTAAACTGAGTCCTGACCCCAATCCTACACCCCTAAAATGATCCTAACTCCAAATTTCATTGTTTCAGCTCTATCGGTTCACCCAAATCCAAATTGTACCAATTATAGTACGATTTAGTACTTTTCGTACACTTCTTTTCGTACTTTTTCCAAAACTACGTACATATCACAATCCTATACTCCGACGGTAATGTTACTTTCAATTTTCAGGATTCTAGCTCCATTTGTACCTCCAAATCAAATTTGTACCAAATGTAGTACCATATAGTACTTTTCGTACACATGAGTACACGATTTCAAAACCATCTCCTTATATCGACCCTACTTCCCAACCCTAATTCGCATTCCAAATTTCAAGTTTTTAGCTCTATCCGTTCTCATGCTATAGAATTGTACCAAATTTAGTACATTTTCGTACATTTCGGATAATTGTAGTTCGAATTTCCAAAAAACTTTTGGTACATCTATACTGCACTCCATCAGTGACCCTCAATCCAAATTTCAGAGTTCTAGCTCTACTGGTTCGCCAAATACAAATGATATCATATTTAGTACTTTTTAGTACTTTTCGTACCCTTCTAGTACGAATTTCCAAAAACCCAGCCTTATCTGTCACATTTGGACCAAGAGGGATCCTCACCCAAAATTTCAAGATTCTAGCTTTAGCCGTTTCGTCTGGGCGTTGATGAATCGTTAAATCAGTCAGTCAGTCAGTCAATCACTTTACTCTTTTATTAGTATAGATTCAGAGAGTGATTCGAATTGAACAACGTACAAAAGTCGGTGTTCGCTCAGACAATTTTGTATGGGGAACTAAGTAATTCCTTCATAATTAAGGGTCGAACAACGAATGAGAGAGCGAACAACGCTCGTCTGGACATGGCATAAGGGCTAAGAGGAATGCTCGCGTTGTGCCACCCGTCGCGTTATATGTTATCGAAAATACAACAACCACAAGGAAACAAACGCATATTGTTTCATTGTGGTTGTTGTATTTTCGAAGTTTATTTTTTCAACACATAACTAAAAACCTAAACAATTAATGAAATGTTATGATTTCTTTCCCAAATCGAATAGGGAATACCATGAAATGCTTATTTCATCTATAACATCGTAACTTCTTTCAAATTTCAGTTTAATATGTTACCGGATAGCTTTACTTCTCAACGACTTATCGATTTCATTCGATAAGTGGAAATATGGCAACGCCAAATCATCTGCATCTTGTTATTGTCGTATTTGCTTTTATCCCCACATTCTAAACATTGCACAATTCTATTTTGTAGTCACATTCGCAACCGTCACATTCTCTTGTAAACGTTTCAGTCGGAGCAAATAAAATAAAATAATTAGTTCGGATTGTATGTGGAAATATAGGACTGCCATCCCATAGAAATGGCGGATGACGATGATTCGGGCGTTCATCGCCTCGAAGGTACAAGCGGCAGTCAAATGCGCGGCGGATTGATAATCAAAAAAGCAAAAACCGATGATGGCAACAAGTTCAAAGTTCCGAAACCATCGATTTTGGGTTTGGATAAATTGGCGGCACAAAAACGCAAAGAGCGCGAGGAGAAGGAACGTCTTATTTCGTTCCGAGACAATGAGCACGACGACGATGATGATAGACAGAGTGGCAGCAAAACCCCATCCACTTTGACGAATCTAAGTGAATTTGCCTTTAAAAAGCCGGATACAATGAGTTTCCAAAAGGTCAGCCGTCAGCTGAGAGCCCATAAGGATGAAACTCCCTCTCATACGGGTGGTGTATCAGAGGAGGCTCGGGAACGTTTAAGGGAGCACATCAAACGAGATCGTAGCAAAGGCGGTGTACATTATTCCACTAAGAATTATGAGGAACGTGATGATAAGGAACGCAGTAGATCATCATCCTCGTCGTCGTCATCTTCAAGAGATAGAGATCGTGATCGGGACCGTCATAAAGACAGAGACCGCAGTCGTGATAAACGTCGTGACCGTGATCGTAGTAGAGAACGTGATAGGGACCGTGAACATCGTAGAGATCGCGACCGTGGCGATCGTAGTGAACGAGATCGCAGTGAACGTGATTCCGCACGCAGTGTAAATACGCCACGTTTCCGTGACGAGCCTAAAACTCCATCTGGTGTATCGGTATCGGGCAGCGCATGGGATGATGATGACCCATCGGAACGTTCATCCCGTAAATCATCTTGGGATTTCCCAACTCCAAAATCGTACGCCAGCTCGGAGAGAGGTGATTGGTCGGAACGTAGTTCCAGCAGTGGTTTCGGTTCCATGTCCGGCTCTCGCAGCCGCTCACGTAGAGATCGAGAAGATGACACACCTCGTCCCACCCCAGCCCACAAATACAATCAATGGGCTAATGATCGCAAACGTTCAGGAGCCACCCCAGCAACAGGTCGAAGCAATCGTCAACCTTGGGGTGAGAGTGATGAAGATCGTGATATGTGGGAGGAGGAACAACGTCGCTTGGATCGAGAATGGTATAACATTGATGAAGGCTACGATGACGAACACAATCCCTTCGGCAATGCCAATGCCGATTATTTCAAGAAACGCGAAGAAATGTTGGAGCAGAAACGCACGAAGCGTATCAGTGCCCAGCAGAGACAGAATAACAAAGACAACGAATTGTGGGAACGAAATCGTATGTTAACCTCCGGCGTGGTTATGTCGATTAATGTCAATGACGACTTCGACGAGGAAGCTTTGGAACGTGTCCATTTGTTGGTCCATCACATTATACCACCATTTTTGGATGGCCGCATTGTTTTCACCAAACAACCGGAACCTGTTATTCCAGTGAAAGATCCTACCTCAGATATGGCTTTATTGGCACGCAAAGGAAGTGCCCTGGTGCGTGTCTATCGTGAACAGAAGGAACGGCGTAAAGCCCAAAAGAAACATTGGGAATTGGGCGGTACGAAATTGGGCAACATTATGGGTATAGAGAAGAAAGTCGATGAAGAGGATGCGAAATTCGACAAAGACTCTGACACTGCCGATTATCGTAAAGATCAAAAATTTGCAGATCATATGCGTGATCAAGATAGTTCGGGAGGTGGTTCAAGTGATTTTTCACGTAAGAAATCAATATTCGAACAGAGACGATTCCTGCCGGTGTTCGCCGCTCGCCAGGAACTGCTGAATATTATACGCGAGAATTCGGTTATTATTATTGTGGGTGAAACTGGCAGTGGCAAGACAACACAGTTGACCCAGTATCTGCACGAGGATGGTTATAGTAATTTTGGAATGATTGGTTGTACCCAGCCACGTCGTGTTGCTGCCATGTCTGTGGCTAAGCGTGTTTCTGATGAAATGGGTACCAAATTGGGTAAGATTTGAAACAATTTTCCTTATAAATAGTTTTCTAATTTTTTGTTTTGTTTTTATAACAGGCGAAGAAGTAGGCTATGCTATACGTTTTGAGGATTGTACATCGGAGAAAACGGTCATCAAATACATGACCGATGGTATTCTGTTGCGTGAAAGTTTACGTGATCCAGATTTGGATGGTTATTCGGCAATCATTATGGACGAAGCCCATGAACGTTCGTTGTCTACAGATGTTTTATTTGGATTGTTGCGTGAGGTAAGTTTTGAATTTTAAGTTCAAATTAGTCCGTATGTAGATTAAGTAAACAAAGGGGTATAGTCGGACAGTCCAAACTATATCTTTATTATCATAAGATGGAGCGCATATTATATTTGTCATTCCGTTTGCAAAACCTCTATATATTATATTTTTATCTGAGGCCCGATAAAGTATATATTGTTAATCAGAATAAAATTATATGTCTATTCAGCAATGTCTCTCTGTTGAAATCACGATAGAGCTCGAAATAAGATAGAATTGTTACTACTCCTAGGTTGTTTGGTATTTAAAATGGGTCCACGTTTTAGTATAGCCCCCAAATATTAGGTATTTGACAGGCTTTTGGCTCGTTTTTAAGTTAGAATTTTGAATTCTAATTGAGTAGCAAATATTCCTACCAAATATTATCAATATTGGTTCATAGTCCCCATATAACGATACTCCCCATTATTCAGTATTTTAAGGGAGTTCGGATAAGCTTTTCAACCAAATTGGTTATAATTTAGTATTAAATAGCAAATCTCCTTATTTTAAAGATAATTATATATCGCGACCCTCAATCTAATATTTTAATCATACATGTATATTGTAGGAAGATAGGACTTATCGGTCTACTCTTATTGGTCAAAAGTATGAATACTTGTAAATCTCATATAGAGGAAACGGAATATACCTTATATAGATCAAGCTAGAAGATGGGACCGTTGCTTCACTCTTCTGGTACCTTCCCTACAAAGTGTCAACATTTGGAATTTGGCTAATTCAATATCATGATAATGTAATGACTTCTTTAACAGAATTGGTTAATCATCCTACTAAAAATTTACCATGGCACAACCCGAATTTAGTAATGTCGGATATTTTAAATGGTTATCTCATGTTGTAATTCTTTGTTCCTCAAGGTGATTTTTGGTACACATACAGAGAAAAATGTTCTGACTCCGAAACCGTTCGCAATCAAGTTTTTGGTTGATGCGCGCAAAAGTTATCGAGGTTTTAATTTTGTCACAGCGACAACAAAACAAGATATTGAGGAAAAATATTTGTTTTTGGTTCGAAAAAATAATGTCATCATATTTATTTTTTTAATTTTATACAAGAAATTTCAGATAAAAATGTTGGGGTTATTCTGCTATTTTACCCGAATTACGCCGAAAAATTGACATATATAAAAATAATCACTTTTTGTGTATAAGTATACGCCTTGCGGATTATTTCAAGACCCTTCCGATAAATCTTGGGATTCTATAAATAGGAATAAATCTTAAAATAAAATAATATTATGAAATATACATTTTAAATTTCGTCTAAATCGCGAAATTCTCAAAATCATTTGATGCGCATGCGGTTTCCAGGAAGTACTGAAGTTTATCTTCCAATGCATATATATTTTGCGAAATTTCATTTGACGGCTAAGATGTGCCACACGTTGCATTGAAGTACCCAAAAAATCGTAAAACGCGAATAATTTCCGAAAACTCCATATGCCATTAACGAAAAATGATACATAAGTGGTGTGGACCCTAAAAAAATACATCGATCTACACCGATTTCAATGTGGTCCATTAAGAACCATGAATGTGCCAGCTCACACAATTTTTGAGATAAATTGGGTACATCTCTCTTTCGGCTGAACTTTTTAAAGTCATGAGGTCATTTATTGTAGCGGAAAGGATCCATAGAAAACGTAAATAAATCAGCGATATTTTCAAAAACATTTTTTGCCAAATTTCGTGTTTTTGGAAAACCAGTTCCCGCCGTTCTAGTAGTTGGATTTTCACGAAGTAGAATTAAAGTAGACACCACCAAAATAAAGTTTGGAGGTCAATATTATGAACAGTTTGCAATGACAGACCAATTAACCCAAAACTATTCACTTTTTTTTCATATACTTAAGTAATTCCCGAGTTATAAAGGGGCGAACCTCCGCTTCAGCTATGTTAAAAAATTGGCAATATTGCCCATATACATTTGTTTGGGAATATTTGCTTTTCATACTTACTACATGTCTTTCTTATCAATACATATATCTCCATTGTCTCGGGCATGCCATTGAGACCTCTCGACATCCCCCTGTAAACATATAGCCCATGTAAACATATAGCGCATATGTTTGCATTATACTTATCTATATATCTCTGCATCTCTGCATTGGTCGAATTGGCCAATAAAATATATCTCTAGTATCCGATTTCGACCAAATGTGATTAATATTAATTCAGTTCTTCCTCGATGACTATTATATTTTCATTTTTGTGAAATTCAAAAAAATACAAAAAATGTCGCCTTCAAAAATTCTTTAACCGACAGTGTGGTACGAACTTCAATTTATTGCCGGCTTCGTTGTTTCTTCGAAATTTCAAACATTTTTCAATTTCTTTTGATATGAAATAGACCTTTAAATTTTGGTTTCCTTAAAAGAAAAATACATTCGACTAAAATAATGCGATAATTCTAAGAGGCGGTGCTGGTGATCTTCGAAAGTGAATATGTGTCTGGAGTTTGATGTTCAATTACGCTCGTGGCCAATGTATGTATGTCATAATAAAAAAAGCCAATTCGGATGGCAGAAATAAGCAAATATATATGTATGTATATATTTATAAATTAACAATATCGATTGGTTCAAATTTCGGATAATTGTATCGGGAAAGCATTTCCCAAAACTGCAGGAATGCAGCGAAAATTAATTTGTGTACGCTGTATTGTAGATGACAATCGTGAAAATTTTAATCTGAATCTAATTATTAACACAAATTGTTCGTCCGATAAGCAAGATAATAATAGCAGCAATAGCCTGTGGAAAACAATGTAGTACGTGGTTGAAGTTTCGAATTCAATTTCCGCGACAATCAGGTATTTGAATGTCTTAGTCGCATTTTCCCAACCAAGTTTGCATTTTGCACCATAAGGTGGAGTGTGTGTTAAAATTTTTCATTCCATTTGTAACACCACGAAATATTTACCCGAAATTTACCATACGTCTAGCTCAATTGGTACTGAAATTGGGATAAATCGGACCTAGTTTTAGGGTAATCCTCATATGACAGTACACCCAAATATTCGATATTTTGAGGACATTTTGACACATTTTGAATATAACGAGTTAGATATAAAGAAGGGAAAGAAAGGATAAGAAGCTAATATGAAGTGTTAGGAGGAAAGTTGGAATAGTTTCGATGGCTATAGAAATTGGACAGAAAACATATAAGGTTGCACATTCCCAACCACTTTAGGTTTCTAATGATGCTGTAGATAAAAGCAGGTTCCATAGTTGAAAAGATGCTTAGAGACGGTGGGAAGTGAGCACCCACTAGTCTGTGCCGTGTGTAGGCCAGAACTGGACAGCGACACAGGAGATGCTCAATTATCAGCACAGAGTCTGCAGTAATCAGTAACATCATTGTCCCATTTACTGGCAAAGGCCCTGATATTGCAATGACAAGTAATGACTTCTGTCATTACTCCAATTTCAGCTTTGCTCAGGTTCAACAGTGAGTTTATTCTCTTGGTTGAGAGAGTCGGTCAGATAGACCTTGACACATTGCACCTAGGTTCGTTGTGCCAGAGTTCATTGGCTCGTCCGTCGAAGAACGCATCAAAGTTTCCATTGGGTAGTAAATCTCCCTAACAAAAATTATCGATGTGGCCCCATATATCAGTACCACCCAAATCTCCTTACCAAAAATAATCTCATATTGGTATACTTTTTAGGATAGCCTCCATAAAGCAATACCCCCCATTATTCGGTATTTTGTGGAGTATTGGCAATCCGATATTTTGATTCACTTTTTGGAATAGTCCCGCAAGTCGGCATTTTTTGAGTTTAGGCTCCAATCTGATATTTCGGATTCTCATATCAATTTTGGTTAATGTGTCAGTGTATCCTACCATAGAGCGATACCTCCTATTATTCGGTATTTTTGGGAGTTTTGGCACGTTTTTGACCAAAAATTTCGGTATTTTGGGAAGGTTTTGCAGGTTTTCTAAACGAATTAGCTTGAATCTGATATTTTGGATTCCCATTTGGTAGAAGAAGAAAATCTCCTTACAAAAAACATTTCAATATTGGTTCATGCTTCAGGGTAGGGTAGCCCCCATACCTCCTAGTTACATTTTTTCTTTTTCCGGATTTGAATAAAAAACCACTTTCTTGAAAGTTTTCAATATAGGTTTATGATTTTTACATCGCTCGTTTAATTGATTCTTATACACTGCGTATCATAACTATAGACGCACCTTTAATTCAATTGGTATGTTAGTTGACAAATAAAATGGACCCATTAAGTTATTGTTCACAATAAAACGATCAAAAACACATATTATTCAACAAAAATAATTAATTTATTCTTTATGGTTTCGCCGAATTCTGCACTTTCAAAATTACTGGTGTTGCATAACTATAGACGCACTTTTACAAAATTAGAAAAATTTATTTTTTAAAACTTAAACAAAATAAAATAACTTTTATAATTAATGGATAGGGCCTCCCTTATTTTGAATAAGTTCAAAAATTTTATCCATCACACTGTTGATCAAAAGTATTCGCAAGTCTTCATCGATTGACCGCCATTCATCGATAATCACTTCTTGGAGGTAAAATAAAGTTTGGTATTGGAGGTTTTCTGCATAGACACGATGAGTCAAGATTCCACACATGTTCTCGATCGGATTCTGGTCGGAAATTTTAATATTTTTCGATTTTAACCATACTTGAGTATGGCGACTTTTATGAACTGGTGCGTTGTCCTGCTAAAAACGTGTCCTTCATCGTTGCTGCTTTCCCAAAATGGCAATAATTTGTCTTCCAAGACTTGAACGTACTCTATTGAATTCATCCGACAACATGGAAATGTCAAATAAAGCATTCCGTGGCTATAAAATGCTACCAAGATGGCGGTTACCGAAATATCGTTATTTCTTAATACGATATTTCGTTGGCGGTTCCTTGATGGTCTTGGGAGCATTTTATAGCCACGGAATGCTTTATTTGACATTTCCATGTTGTCGGATGAATTCAATGGAGTACGTTCAAGTCTTGGAAGACAAATTATTGCCATTTTGGGAAAGCAGCAACAATCAAGGACACGTTTTAAGCAGGACAACGCACCAGTTCATAAAAGTCGCCATACTCAAGTATGGTTAAAATCGAAAAAATATTAAAATTTCCGACCAGAATCCGATCGAGAACATGTGTGGAATCTTGACTCATCGTGTCTATGCAGAAAACCTCCAATACCAAACTGTATTTTACCTCCAAGAAGTGATTATCGATGAATGGCGGTCAATCGATGAAGACTTGCGAATACTTTTGATCAACAGTGTGATGGATAAAATTTTTGAGCTTATTCAAAATAAGGGAGGCCCTATCCATTAATTATAAAAGTTATTTTATTTTATTTAAGTTTTAAAAAATATTTTTTTTCTAATTTTGTAAAAGTGCGTCTATAGTTATGCAACACTTTCATTTCATTTCATTTCATTTCATTTATTTCATACAATGTAATATAAAAAAGCCAGCATGGCCAATAACTTATATTAACTTATATATAAAAAAAAATAAAAACCCAAACAAAGAATAAACTAAATAAATTAAAAATACATAACAGCAAAAAACAAAATTCTACATAATGAAATTTAATGCAAACCGCTAACATAACAGATTCCAAACAAGAACCCCAATCCACTGCACTCTACTTAACTGTTGCTAAGAAAAGTGGAGGGGAAAGGAAGCTTAAGGAACCATACATATAAATATACTATATATTCCTCTCGAGCCCAAGAGCAATATCAGAACCACAGACATTAAATTCCATATGTATAAATCTATAACATAAATGCTAACGAACTTAAATAAAAATGGCTCCCCAGCCAAAAATTAAAAAAAAAGACAAAGTACCATTATGCAACCTGTAATCAGCGATTTCTTCAAAGCCAGCTTCATCAAATACGAGACAAATGCCCAAACAATTCCCTCCTATACGCAAAAGTGGAAGAGGTAAACTTACGAAGGCTCAAAGGGAGCTGATTCCACGATCTTACGACTCTAACTACAAATGATCTTTCACAAATTGCAGACGAAAACCTCGGATACAACAACTGAGGGTTCCGAGAGGATCTACACATCACAAACCTACTACACAGTGGTAAATCAACATTTCTCATAATTCTATAATAACACAAAAGGATACGATATTCAACATAAGTATAAAAGGATAGGCCAAGAAATTTAACAACAAATTGGGAAACATGATGACTACGACCCAAACCATATACATAACGAACAATGGAGTTAACAACCTTTTGGAGCCGATGCAAATGACCAGAATTAGAGCCCGAAATAACCTCCAAACAATAGTTAACCTGAGACATCAACAACGACATAGCTACCTTCACCCTAACACCAAGAGGCAAATATGCTTGGACACTATAAAGCCTCCTAAGCTGGAATCGCACACGGGACAACAGAAGATCAATGTGGGTCGAAAAACTAAGTTTGGCATCAATAATTACACCCAGGCACTTCATTTCACCAACAATATTAATAGTAAAGGAACTAACGCAAATATTAGGCATAGAACCGTCATAACAACAATTGAACAAAACAGCTTCAGTCTTATCCCAGTTTATATCAAGACCATTGGAAGAGATCCACATAGAGAGAGATTGCAACGTTGTGTTAGCAAGATTCTCCAACCTGGCGAGATCAGCACTCCTAAAGAATACATGTATGTCATCCGCATACAAGAAGAGACTACAATCACTAGCAGTAACAGAATCCATGATGTCATTAATGAACATAATAAAAAGTAATGGGCCCAGTACAGAACCCTGCGGGACTCCACACCGGATTAGACCAACATCAGATTGGACACCCTTGTGCACAACAAACTGGGATCTACACTCCAGATACGACGAAATTAGTCTACAGGCCGAAACGGAAAATCCAAATTTGACTCTAAGCTTGCGAATAAGCAGCGCGTGGTCAATTGAATCAAAGGCCTTAGACAAATCAAGACCAACAAGAAGACCAACATCAGAACCATCAAAAACATCACGAATAACATCAGTAAGGGATAATAAGTGTACCGTAGTACTGCAGCCACGCTGAAAACCATACTGAGAACTACTCAGGCATTTGTGATCACCAAGAAACTCCAAAATAGCATCTTTAATAATATGCTCAACTATCTTAGACATGGCCGGCAATACACTTATTGGACGCAAGTTAGACTGACTGTATGAAGACCCTTTCTTCGGAACAGGCACCACACGAGCCACCTTCCAAGCTTGCGGGAAGGATGACGTCATAAAAATACAATTAACAAAATGCAAAAAGTGAACAGATATGTATGGAAAAACACTCTTAAAAAATTTAATAGGAATGCCATCAAAACCTACAGCTCCAGACTTAATTTTGCGGAGAGCACTTTCAACATCCTCCATAAACACGCAGTAAAACCTAAATGACTCTCGAACCAAGGCACCATCAATTCCTACACTCACACCAGGATTAGATTTGCCAACATTACAAAAGTAATCATTAACAGTATTAACATCAATAAAAGGAACATCATCACCACAATCCAGACAACCAAAGGACCTAAGAGACTTCCATAATTGACTACTGTTCATACGACCGAACAACTTTCCATAATATTTTCTTCTTTCATTACGCATAACAGCCTTGCAACGATTTCTGCAGATACAATATATACGTCTATTGTCATCAGTAGGCCTTCTGCGCCATTCAAAGTAAGCTAAATCCCGAATCGAACGAGCTGACTTCACAACATCAGAATTCAACCACTCATCATTTTTGGGGCTAATATGACGAGTAGCAAGAGGAACAAAAGACAGCAAACTCTGAAATAACGTCTCAAACAAGGCCAGTTGGCTGTTTACGTTACTGGTGAGATACAGAGGAGAAAAATCAAAATTAAACACAAAATCACAAATACCGATCCAATCCGCATTACAAAAATCAAGATACTCGATTACCTTCTCTTCAGCAACTACAGGCAAATCAATCATCCCAAAGATAAGCGCATGGCGAGATATGCTAGGGCATTGCCCCTGCGAGGAAAAGCCCAGCCGCATGGGATCACTGATCAAACAATAGTCAATCAGCGAGGTAGAACTATGAGCAAGATCAAAGTGCGTAGGCTTGGAATTGTGGACAATAGAAAGCCCAAGAGACCTACATATGCCCCGCATCAACGTAGATTTCGAAGAATTAAATAAGTTACAATTAAAATCACCACAGACAAACACATTTGCATATGAATCAAAAATACCCTCATGAATGCTACGAAAGGAATCTACATCTCCATGCGGCAGGTATACAACGGCAACAAGCAACGTATATGCACCGAAACACAGCTCGACGCACAAAGACTCGCATACACCATAATGATCCGATTTAAAAACCACCTTATATGACAATCTGTCACATACATACAACATAACACCGCCACCTACACGTCCAATGCGGTCACTACGAAGAGCCTTATAGCCAGGAACTCTCAATGACCTCGATGAGACAGCTGAGTTAAGCCAAGACTCAGTCACACCAAAAAAATCAATTCCACTGCCAACAAGTAGACACTTTATCTCATCCAATTTGTTATTGAATCTAGACGGACGAATGCTTTGACAGTTCAAATGGGCATACGTAAGCTTACCATCACCACAATGAATGTTCTGCGTAAAGAATTGAGCATCGCTAATTACAGGCCCTAGATTCACATCAGGGCACATAAAAATTAAATAAGAGACTGGGGAGCATAATTATTAAAGTTCGATTAAACATTGAATGCATATCAAAATAATAATAAAAGAATAACAAATTAAACAATAAAGAATATACCAATTCAAAAAAATAAAATAATTGTTTTAAGAAAAATAATATTAAAATTAAGAAAAATGAGATCAACAATTATAAATATACATCACATGGCTATGTAACAGGAAACTGCACCGCCCCACAATCATTATCCAATACATTCCGCATCTGCGAATCTCAGGATCGATTGGCAAAATTAATAAGTTCCTGCTGCTCGAACCTAGTTTTCGTTCCATCAGGAAGAAGAACTTCAACCAAGGGCTGATCACCGTTAAGCAGCTTAAATTTCCTAATATGCTTCCTTTTAAGCAAATCTCTACAGGCATAGATAAGTTTGGAGGTCGACTTAATTAAGTGATCATTTATAAACACTCGAGACTCCACAATGCAATTCTCAATTACTTCCTTCAGAAGAATACGACCCTTTTTAGAGTAATTACGCATCAGTGAATCTCTATCCTGCACAGAGTTAAATTTCACCAACACCGCTCTACGGTCAGATATGTAACAACAGTGCTGCAAATCTCTAGGCACCAGTTGCATCCCACAAACCTTAGCAATATTTACAGTTAGCGCTCTAAGGTCTTTTATATTGTCCGGCAATCCTCTAATAATGACATTCGATCGATTCAGTCTGCGCTGGAGCATAGCATTATATAATTCCAATTCATGGACTCTGTCTATTAACTTCTTTTCCACACTAATAGAAGTGTTTTTCATTTCACTGACAGTTAACTTAAGATCACAAACGGACTGCTTCAGCTCAGTGATATTGCTCTTCACCTCAGAGAATTCAGCACTGTACAATTCAAAAAGAGCATCTGTTTGGGATTTAAACTCCTGCATACACTGTGCCATGTAAGCATCCATCTTTAGTTTCATGGTAGATAACATATCATTCTGCAAACTACGTAAGGCATCCGCATTAACAAGTGCAGCACCATTATCAACAGAAGCACTAGAAACAGGCATCACACCAGCAACCGAACTAACACTAGCGCCATGATCAACAACACCAGCCACACCATCACCACCAGAAGCACGGATACATGTAATGCACGTATATCTAAGAGCCTTATTAACTCGAGCCTCACTTTCAGATACACCCACACAATCCAAGTGGAAGTAATTTGCACAGCCGGTGCATCCAATTTTGTATTTAGATTTTGCAATATGTTCATTGCAGACATTGCAAATACACTGCGACGGCATCTTCAGCAAAATAAACGCCAAAAAAACTGCAGCAACACGGAAAACCCAGCCAGAAAACACTTCAAGGATCACCAAGAATATATTGCTACTAAAATATAGCCAGGAACAACCGAATAAAACTCAAATTTCAAAACTTAAATTATTTTTCTTAAGAGCGCCAGAATTTATAGACTATCCATGTAGGGATCACAAACTCAATCCAGTAATTTTGAAAGTGCAGAATTCGGCGAAACCATAAAGAATAAATTAATTATTTTTGTTGAATAATATGTGTTTTTGATCGTTTTATTGTGAACAATAACTTAATGGGTCCATTTTATTAGTCAACTAACATACCAATTGAATTAAAGGTGCGTCTATAGTTATGATACGCAGTGTAGCTTAGTTTTCCGAACTGAAATAAACAATCTACCAGCAGACAATTTATAATGACATAGTCACCATATGTAGTTCCAGGCCTATTTAAGATATTTTGAATGCACACCACATGATGAATGAATGTATGAAAAGATCTTCCCGAACGAACTTAACGATTTTTTCAATTGTTTGTATATTTCATCTATTTATCGACACTTTTTAGCGGTAATCTTACAAGATAAGTCCGTCCTAAATGGTAATTTCCTATCCTAAAAATGTCGTGAATTACCCACTTATTCAAAAGCAAGATAATCTGCAATTTTCATCGAAAAAAATGTGTGCTATTTTCCAAATAAAACCAAATCATTAAGTTCAATGAAGATTCCGTAGAATTTATCTTCAATTTAAATTTTTATTAGTTTTCCAAATTGCAGTTAGGAAATAAAATCCTTAAAGATAACCTCTCTTTTTCTTGAGGGCATAGTAAATAATGTGTATAATTCTTTTTGTAGCTCCATATATGTGTATTTTTACTTAAATATCTTAATTATAATAAACTTATATAGGGAATAATAACAATAACAAGCTCTTAAACATAGAATTTTTCTCTTTTTGCAATTCAATTGTTATCCTTTTTTTTTGTAAAAAATAGATTATAAAAAATAATAATAAGAGTAATTAATAATAATAAAAATAAATAAGTCTTTTCTCCATTCGTTACTTGTTTTTCTCATATATGCATATGTAAATGTATGTAGAAAAAACGATAACAATAATAGTTCACAGTTTTTTTTTATAGAGTAGTAGAGCACATTGTGGTTGTGAAAAAGCTGTCTCCATATATAGTTTTTTTTGTTGCTTGGTTTGTTGGTTTTAAGGGCAGGTGGGAAATTTTTTTGTGAGTGTAGAGTGGTGTATCCTTGACAAATTTCAAGAAAAAATGTTAAATTATTTTCTTTTTTTGCCTTTTGGATATGTAGTAGTGTTTTGGCTATACATTTATGAGGGGGGTCCTTTCAATTGGTTTTGTGAGGAAGGGTGTTTGGCTAGTTTAGGCTGTGCTTTTTTCCAGTTTTCTTGACTTGAGGACTAGAACATTTCATTGTGTGGTGTTTTATTTTTCTTTGTATAACTTTAATTATTTAAATCGTTAAAATAAACATTTACTAATACTTGTATTCTTTTTGTGTGAGTGTTGTTTTTTACCATCATTTAAATAATTTTGTTTTTGGTATTACCAAGGCTTTAGTGGTTATCTTATCTGTGTATACCATCCATCTACCGAAAAAAATGCAATGCATATGAATATTTTTCATTCAATCACTTCATGCGGTACTTTTTTTCGTAGAACAGGGGCTTTGTTTTAAAAAATATCAAATTCTTTTTTTATATATCACAAATGTTGTTGTTCTAACCCTCATTACTTTGTTTTCTTCATTATGGGAATTGTTAATAACAATACAAAAAATAAGCCATTCTTTGGTTCCTTTCATTTTCCAAATAAAAAAATAAAGAATGTTCACAGTTTTTGTGGTCTGGTTGCATTGGGCATCACAATTTCCCATCACTTTGTTTGCTTTGCATTTACTTTGAGGTGGAATATGATTTTTTGTTCATCAGCAGCAGCATACCCGCATTCATGCCCACACTGCCCCATTTAACACATTCCGACATCTGAAAGAAATTGGAAAAACTGAGAAATATTAAAATCCTAAAATTTTGAGTTTTTTCAAATGTGAACTTACTTGACGTTTTCGAACATCCTGCTGGCGACTGCCATAGCGGCACCAATAGACAAAATGCTGATTATTATTCCAGAGACTTTGTTTGGCTTTGCGTGCAAAGGATACCTGAAAAATGAAGATGTTAAAAAAATGATTAATAAAAATAGATTCTAGAAGTCGCAGTGGTGAATATTGTCATGGTTCTCGATCTGACCTCTTCAACTGAATTATGAAAATTTTCAGTTTTTATATTTTTTTATCTAAACCTCAACATTTTAATATCCCCTTGAAAAATTTGCCCACTACTGATATAGGTTACAAAATCTCCTTCCAAAAATTTTAGTTTTAGTTACGCATTTTTGTTATATTCCTCTATCTAACATATCACGATTTGTTATATTTATTATACCCTCCTTTTGGTGTTGTACATTAAATTAGTCATTCCGTTTGCAACACCTCGAAATATTCCCTTGAGACCCCATAAAGTGTATATATATTTTGTTTATCAAAATAAAATTCTATGGCGACTTATGTGGGCCCGTCTGTCTGTTGAAATCACGATAGAAATCGCAATATTTCAGATAGAGCTTTGAAATTTAGCGCTGGCATAGCTATTACATCTATGTTGGTTGATATTGCAAATGTGATATATCGGTTTGCCACGTTTTTTCCACCGAATTGGCTGTAATTTCCATACCGAAAAGGTAAGGTGGTACCCTTTAATGGCATTTTGGGGGGTTTGAGGCATTTTGTATTCACTTCGCTCATCCGAGGTACCTACGAAAATTTATCAATATTGGCCCAGTTTTTTAGGTTACCCCATATTCGGTATTTTTTGGGTGTGTATGTACCTAATTAGTTGTAACTCGGTATTTTGGTTTGTGGTATGGTATTAAATCTTCCTACAAAAATTATGAATATTGGTCCACCTTTTAGGGAAGTCCCCATATAAAGCTCCATCTCAATTTTCGGCATTTTGGAGAGCTTGATCACGAGTTTTAACCAATTTGAGAGCAATTTCATATTTTAGATTCTTATTGAGTTGAAAATGTCCCTACCAAAAATTATCAATATTGACCCAAGTTATCGGGCAACCTCCATATTATGGTAACCCCTATTATTCGGTTTTTGTAGCACGTTTTCTAAAAGAATTGGCTCTAATTCGATTTTTCCGGTTTTCATTGGGTGTCAAATCTTGCACCTAAACAAGATCAATATTGGTTAACTTTTCAGTGAAACCCATATATAAGGCTACATTCCAAATTTCGCTATTTTGGGGGAGGAGCTTGGATACGTGTTTCAGCCAAATTAGCTGTAATTTAATATTTTGGATTTTCAATGAGTAGAAAATCTGCCTACCAAAAATTATCAAGATTGGTCGAAGTTTCCAAATAGATCCTCTTTATAACGGTATCAACCAGTATTCGTTAATTTAGGATGTCTGGGTTTCGGGTTTCAACCGGATTTGCTCTAATTTGATTTTTTAGGCTGTCATTGGGTGTCAAATCTTCCTACCAGTTCTGGTTTTCGTATATAGTTCCCATATCGATCTATTTTCAGTATTGTGAAGGCTTTAGCCGCATTTTCTAAACCGATGAGTCTGTAATGTGGTATAAAGGATTCCTGAAGGCAGATTTACATATATACAGAAAATTATAAATATAAGCCCATAATTTGATACAGATTCTTGGTTATTAAAAAAATCGTTCTAGAAAGTATTCAATATTGCTGAATATTTTTAAAATAGGCCCTATACAAATGTCCCGTTAAATTTTCGGTACCACGAGTTTCCAATCTGAGAACTTGAGCAGCATCCTACTTCACATATAAAGGCTCCGATTGATATATGGATTTTGAAAGTCAACCACGTAGTGGAGGTTATAAAAAGTTAGGTCCGGGCGAACTTATCGTCGTTTTTACTTTAATCGAATCTAGAGTTCTAGCATTTTGATCTCTCGGTTAGTCAAATTTTCGGATGGTGCAAAATCGCATTCTAAAAAAAATATTTTAGCTCTCCATTTTGTTATGACTGATATTTTCAAAATTTTAATATTTTTTTCTTTTTTTATCTTTTGTTGGTACTCACCTGGTTTCTTATATCCTTTTCATTGTGTGGGGGCTTTTCCTTATCGGCAAAATTATTAATACGCAATTCCCAGCCATTATTCCATACATCCTCCAGGGACATTTTTAACATTTTAAAGGTACCATTTTCACGTATTTTCACAGAAAATATTTCAATTGTTTCGGGTTTGGTTTTATTGTCTGCAAGAAAATAAAGAAGAACAAGAAGAAATAAAAATTAAAATATTTGAATTGATATATTTATGGCTAATTAAATGCAAAATATTTTTTCAACCGAATTGGCTATAATTTGGTACTTCTCAATTTTGGATAGATTCGGATTTTAGTAAGAGTTTTTATTACCGAATTGAATAACAGGTGTGCCATTAAATGGTGGCTACCCCGAAACAATTTAATATTTCGGATTCTCAGTGGATAGAAATTCACAGTACCAAATATAATCAATATTAACATATATATCGGGGTAGGTCCTAAATAATCGTACATCCATTATACGGAATTTTTGGGGATTTTGGGTAATTTTTTCAAAAAATAATGGTTCGCATTGGTTGTCAAATCATCCTTCCCAAAGCCTCCAATTGTTGGTCTGATTTTTGGTATTTTGATAATTTCGGTATTATTTTCCAGTCAATAGTTGGACTTTGTTTCTCATATGGAATATCGATTGATGTGGGGATAAAGTATTCCAGCTAATTACCAAATTACAATTTGAGTTTATTCCAAATAAAAAGGCAAATAATTAAAATTCCATGACAACAACAACCATATAATCACCGTTATTTGGGCCAACAAATAATTGTCAGTTATTTTTTTTTTTTTTGGTTTTCAACAAAATCACCCTTAAAAGAGAACATTCCAATAAAAACTACAATTATCGACGAATGCAAAACAATCAATCATTTTTGACTTAATCATCAGCAACAAAAAAATAAAAACTGAAAACAGAAAAAATAACGACAAGTGAAAGTCCACAATTTTTCCAATGAAACACATATTTTAGTAGGTGGCGCCCAATACTTAGTAGGGTAGTTACTAGACCATGACAAATAAAACTAAGACGCTACCAAGGTACATTTATAACAATAAATAACATATACTTATTAGTAGAAACCAACAAAATTACTAATCGATATTGTAGTATGATGACGACTAGCAAGCAATTATTGATAATGAAACCAAATATTCAATAAGGCTTTCCCCTCCAAAACAGAAATAAAAAATAACAAATTTATTGACCAATATTTAAACAAGACAAACAACACATCTAGATTATTCTAGAGTCAATAAATGTTATTTATTAAACAAAACAAAAATACACTATTCCGGAGTAATTATTAATCGATAACAAAAAAATGCCGAAAATATATGGACCCACGTGAAGCTTCAAAATTTATTTTTGGAGAAGGGGCTTGTTTGTGAGATATCTTCACAAAGGTGGCCTTGCTTAATTTGTTTTTTGGTAAAGATTATAAACAAAAAATTTGCAAATTTTGATTTTATTTTCAAATGGAGTTGATTAATGTTTCTGAAATGAGCTCCAACAACAAATGACAGATGTTGTTTGCCTCTTTCATTTTCCGATTATTATATTTGCCATAAAAAATAAAATGAATTTATAGTCACCAAATTATGAGTTGGTAATAGAGTAGGTGTTGTGTCATGGACTTTATCTTTTGATATTAGTCAACCATGAGAATTTGGGCATCATTAGAACAGGAAATGAAATGAAGAAAATGTTTTCCCTCTGAGAAAATATTGGAACAATGCAAAATCTTGATGAAACAGTCAGTTAATTATCAGGAGAGTTGGAAAAGTTGCGAAAAATCCTTAATTTCGGACAGAGCTTTTTATATCCTCCGCCATGGGCATCAAAAATTTATAAAACTTTGATCATTTAGCTCGATTTGAAATAGAAAAAATATGACTTGAAAATCATTCATTTGATCATCGACCTTACAGGCCAAAATCAAATAATTAAAAATAGTTCGGGATATGTAGTATATGATAGAAAATTCGCCAAGAACCTACAAAAATTGAGCGGAAAAAGGAATATAAAAATTACGAAATTATATGGAAGAAGTATATCCAGAATGCTTGAACTATCAACGTATGTTCAAAAAGTCGGGACTTTTATATGTGTGCTCTGTTCCACAATAGATCTGGATTTTTATCCGATATCTAAAATGGAACGGGACTCTAAGAACAATTAGTGTCAATAGGTATTTTATCTTCTGAAAATAGGGTCGGAATTTGGGCTTATATTAAAATACTAGCGACATGTCCGCTACTTCGTATGCAGAAAGGGAATACAAAAAAAAAATAATAATAATAATAAATAAATAATATTTTATATTGAAATCGTGAATAACGTATAATTTATTGTACTATAATTCCGAAATCCATCTATATTCCTACATCTAATATCAAGCTTATTACCACTTAGTACTCTTCATACACATAAGCACGAATTTCCAAAATCTTTTTCTTATTTCCATTATATATACTCAAAAGTGATCAGACTTTCAATGATATATTTTAGCAAATATCTACAAATTCCACATTTAGCTCCATTCAGCACTTTTGGAACAAATAATTACACCGCATACACTTCAACATTAATCTAAATTCCAAATCTCAGGATTCCGGCTCTATCCATTCACCCAAATCCAAAACTATCTTAATTTCAGGATGTTAGACTTATCCTTTCACAACAATCCAACTTGTACCATATGTACCATTGTACCATGTAACCCATTTTTGTGGCCAAAGGTACGAATCAATCCTAATCTCAGCCCCATCCGTTCACACAGAAATAAGTACAAATTCCCAAAAAAAATTACCTTAATGCCACACTCTAACAGTAATCTAAATTCCAAATTTCAGGATTCCAACTCTATCCTATTACCCAAATGCAAATTGTACCAAATTTAGTACCATTTAGCACCTTCCGTAGGTTAATGTAGTTTATCAACCATGCAAAACCTGTAGAATCCCAGCACTACACCTTCACACAAATTCAACTTGTACCATATTTAGTACTTTTCGTACACATAAATACGAATATCCAAAGCTGTCTCTATAGCTCAATCCTAAACTGTTATCTTTATTCCAAATCTCAGGGTTCTAGCTCTATCCATTCACCCAAATCCAAAAATATCTTAATTTCAGGATCTCAGGATCTATCCGTTCACACAAATCCAACTTGTACCATATTTTGTTCCATGTAACCCATTTTT